TTTGTTTTACAGCATGAAATGTCTGAATGACTGCTCATCCAACACTGGTGATTCCATACTTTTTGCCAGGGGTTGTAGCAACCCAAGCTGAACTCCAGCAGTTTGGTCAGCTGATTTTATCTCTGTACAATGGCTGCTGTTAAAGACAAGTGTTTTGTTGTTGACTCACCATCCAGAAACCACTTGCTGCATTCTTGTTGGTTGTGCAGGAGGCTCTACTTATGCTTGTCAAAAATGTAAGATTGCATTGTTGCGCACCTGTTTGCAGCGATTTTCACATGCAAGTGTAAACGTTGAATTGGGGGTGGGGTGGCATTCAGCAGTTTATTTAGATTTAAAGTGACAGGACGCCCTAGAACAGCTCATTCTGAAAGAACCAAATTAAAATCTCTTTAGGAATAATTTTGTGCAAAAAATTAAATGAACATGTTTTGTATAGGCCATTGATATATCCTAACCTGCTTAAGGAAACATCAGAGGTCATCTTTAATCGTAAAAATAATTTAAAATTTAATGTATTTAACTATTTAAAACTATATTTTGTGTATTTTTAAAAATAAAAACAGGACAATTGGTGGGACTTGCCATTTGCTGTGCAGGTTGGATCATTTCAGCAGCTGTAGTGAACAGTGTTGTGAATGAACGAGTCATCTTCATGGACTTTCTCCTTGTTTCCAGCTCTTGGCCCACTTCGGTCAATCCCATTAGTAACACAGTGTTGAATGTTTCAGCTCTGTCTTTTAAATTTGTCTCATGAATGTCTGCTACTTTCTTGTACCAAACATATTTTTCTGTGTACCGTGTACTGACACGGCGCTCTGAAATCTCACTTAATCTGATCTGATTAGAGTGACTGAAACGAAGAAGCAATTAGATAATTACATAAGTACACAAAAAAGAAAAAAAGAAAGACAGAGACAGAGTGAGGAAGCAGAAGGGGTGAAAAATAAAGAGAGTGAAAATGACTCATCCTTGAAGTGGGGTAAAAATCGATTGTGAGGAAAATGTGTGTTTCCCTGCAGAGAAGTGAAAGGACAGCAGGACAGAGAGGCTGATACAGGGACTCTGAATAAAAGAAAAACAGCAGCTAAAATAAACCAGTCAAAGCCAGACTCCAACCAGAAGTGTGTCCTCTGGATTTATTAAGATTAATGAAAATAAAACATGTTGCATCTGTGAAGAAAAAAAGTGACACTTGTTTACATTTACAGGATTGACATCTTATATGTCCTCAACAGTCACAGAACCCATTAACCATTATTTGTAGAACTACTGTAAAAATAGGAATTGTTTTTCCATTTAGTTTGAATTATTAAACGTTATATTAAATGTACAATATATTTAACATGCCAGCTTTGTGCTCTTGGGGACCCCTAGTGGTGTGGAGGCCCTAAGCAGTCAGTTACTCGCATATACCGTGGGCCGGCTCTGCTTTTGTTGTCTGTTTTTTAATCATGAAGAGGAAACCAATACTAATTAAGGAATTGCCACTGCCAAATGCGGTGGAAATTTCAATATGTACTATTTCAATATTCACCCTTCATTTAACCCCAGGGAGGATTTTGTCCCACAGCTGGACATCCAGACAGTTTTCTTTCTCTGGCCCATGGTCCACAAAGGGTTGTGCTGCAGTACCATGACTTTAGCAGAATCCCGACTATGTAACGAAATGTTTCATAAATAAAATGTGTGGTTTCCTCACAGAGTATTTGCCATGTCACCCACAAATCTGACTTTACTGATTTGACACGTTACTAAATAAACATAATTTTTTGTTTGCAGACCACTGTTAAGCAGGACATGATAGACGATTTGTGTTAAATAATTCAGCAACCTTTTCTGGAGCCTAAAAAATGCCTGTGATCAACGTTTTATTTTATTTATCTATTTTTTACATTGTTGTGAAAGCAAAGAAATTCCCACTTTATTCAAAGTCACATTGACCAACGCTCTGGCTTCCCTTCAGCATGCTAGCTGTGGTGCGGTCTGCTGCTAAATAGTGCAATTATTCATGTTTCTAACTGAACTTATGAGAGCGTGTGCACTTTGTGCCTCTCACTCATCTGCGCCAAGATGCGGAGCCTCTCGCTCATTAGTGGCCCCGGTCAGGCATGGCTGCCAGATTGTGTTTGGTCAGCGCTGGCAGGGCCACAAACAAAATGGTGGAAATGTTCGCCCTCAGATTTTTCTGGCTCTACGTTCAAAAGCCAGCAGCAAATTACCCTTACAAACAATGAAGGGGATGACACGGCTTTAGGTTCAGATCTGCGTCAGTGAAGCCTTTGGGTACATTCGCGCTCCAGCTCCAACTGGATCGGACCCAAAGGCAGAAAACAGATGGGAGACGGAGCGAGGAGGTTCGCTCCGGCTTTCAAATGATGCTTTTAAAACTCTTGAAAGAAAATAAAAGTAACAGAAACTCCGTCCAAGGTAGCATTTATTAATTAGTTTGTTTTTTAATGAAAGCAACTTCTGATGTCCGTGGTGGGAGTCTGCAGGATAAAATGTTAATTTATCCGAAACAAACTCGGCTTTGGGAAGGATTCATTTGATTAACCTGCTGTGTCCTGAAGTAGGAGAACAAACAAAGCAATCTGACAAAGCGTAAATTGAGGTGAAAGTTAGCATCACATTGAACTCAACTAAAAAACAACTCAGAGATACGACTGGAAATGGATCTCAGCTTGTTGGATAAAGCTTGTTGTTCTGAAAAAAAAAACAACAACAAAAAAACAAGTGGTGACTTTTATGCATTGGGTCTAATTATATCCTCATCAATTTGCGTTCAGTGCTGTAAAAAGTATTTTATTGTTCTGTATTTGCGTGTTAAATGTGTAAATGTAACATAGCCCACATAAAATACATGTTTTAATCAACAGTTTTGTCCGTCAGCTTTATCCAACCTGGCCTTACATGAAAATGTTTGCCGTTTATTCAATTTGGCAATATTTCTTTTACATCAACATGGAGGAATTTTGACCAACTCTACTTTGCAGAATTGTTTTAATTCTGCCATATTAAAGTTTTTCTAAGGACGAACGGCCTGATTAAGGAGATGTGACAGCATCGCAAGCAAATTTAAGTCTAAATATTGACTTGAATTTGCAGGAATTACAACAGATTAAACTCATTTGGATTGGAAAAAAGGAATAAAATAAAGTAATCTTTATTTTTACTGCCCAAAACACCTCAGCAGCTCCAATTAACTAGTGCAGTTTATTTATCATTGAAGCTCCTGAGAGCCATTGAGCCGTTTACTGATTTGTTATCAACCTGTCTTTGTCTTTGTGAAGCTTTCACAGAAAACAGTCTGAATCTCTCCTTCTCACACTTAACTGTTCTTGTAGATGCTAAAACATTTTAAAGACAAATTTGTTCTTTACAGGGTTGTTGTAAAGTAAAATAAAACGCAGGTAAATTCTGACATTAAAGCTGCTGTATGTAACTTTGTTTTTACATGTTTGTTGAAACTGTCAATTTATTTTGACAGTAAGACAAATCTGTGAAAAATTAAAGTTCCTCTGCCTTCTTGTGCTAAATAGAAACAACCAATGAGAGCAAGGAGGCGGGTCTTAGTGCTGTCAATCATGGCAGTGTCAGCAAAATTTGTTGTCAGTTTAAGGATGCGTATTGGTTCCCTGAAAGACAATGAAAACCTGTCAAACTATGTCGTGCTAATAGCAGTTAGCAGAAGTGCTCTTAGCACTTTTAGCGCCGTGAGTTTAGCGCGGAACTCACAGCGCTAAATAAAAAATATAATAAAGCTTCATACAGTTTTAATACAACACTAGTATAAAGGGAAGTGGATGGACTCTAAAAGTCACTTTTTGTGTGTTTTTGACTGAAGGAAAAAGTTTGTGTGTGTGAGAGGCATGGAGGGTGACAAAGTGCTTACCGATGTAGCCGAGAAATCCGGACAGCATCCAGGGATCACAGCGAGCCTCCAGGCCTCGGAGTTCTGCAGCTGCAACCAATCTGACCAGCAGGTGTGACTGACTGAGTGGGACACCGTGTGTGTGTGTGTGTGTGTGTGTGTGAGTGTGTGTGAGGCAAAAAAGAGGCTGAATCCCACAGGAGCAGAGACAGGACTTCCATTAGAAACCAGAGTCCCGTTTAGCAGCTGACCTGAGGTCTAAAGTCCAGAAAATGTTTGAAAAAAAAACAGCAAAGAAGCTACGATGAAAAAGTAGTTAAACGCAATTAAATCTGATTGTTTTGATTAAATAACTCAACAGTAAAGAGAAAAGACTCAGCAAAAATATTGATGGCCAAAAATGTTTTGATGGTCCTGATAATACGTGGGGGAAGTTTGTGTCAGGTCTGTTCTAATCCTCTTTTTACAAAAAGAACATCACACCTATAGTCAAACACGGCAGTGGTAGTGTGATGATATGGGGCTGTTTGATGCTAGCTAGCTTCTTTTAAGCTAGCTAGTTAGTTTTGTTCCTACCTCCGTTTCCACTGCAAGAACCAGAATCAATAATTCCTGCTAATACAGCTGCTAATGTACCTTTGCTAGCTAGCATAAGTACATTAGCTAGCATATACCTAGCATACCTTTGCTATGCCAACTAGCAAAGGTATATTAGCTAATTAGCGATATTGATATCGCAAAAATAAAGACCACATAAATATATGAGATTAAATAATCCTACCATCACAAAAGATAAGACCTGTGATTAAACAATTTAAGGTCAACTTGACTTTTTCAAAAAGAAAGAGTTTTAGACATTTTAATATGCGCGAACACCCTGATTTTCTACATCATGTAAATCAGGAATCCATTCCAAATATTTCACTTATTTTTATTCAATCTGCATGTAAAACACAAAAACCTTGAGTTTTTAATGAGATGTTTAATTTAATAATAATAATAATAAAAAGAAAACAAAGATTACAAGCTTTGTTTTCATTTGCCACTTCCAATTCTTTCAATCTGCCTTTTACAAATCATTTAGCACAAGATCTTTCTCCGAAGCTGCTTCTGAGACGTTAATATAAAACAAATTAAATAAGGTTTCATAAGATCCAGTGTTTCTGCAACAAACTGTTTGGCATTGATATGATTTGCTATACAGCTCCTTTTAGCTTTACATTAAATATCCACCTCTGCTCACACACAGACATCGGCAGCAGCAGTTTAATACATAGCTCCCATGTATTAGAAGGCAGGCGCATGCGCAATGCGTAAATGATCAATGGTGTCGAGATCAACAAAAATAAAATATGTGGACACTCTTAACCAACGTGAAATAAATATAAACAAATCGCAGCTGTCGGGATCGACGCGTATAAAACGGAGAAGGAAAATAAGCTCGAGGATGTGGACAAGCAGATCTCATATTACGACTTGCTACTTTGTGAACGTGAAGAGTGCATAGAAAATGGAGGATTTTGTCCATGGACGCATACAATCAGTGTTTGACCGGATTTGTAAAGGATGTACGAACTCTTCAGGTGAATAACAAGGTTCTAGTGACCGGCAGAGTAAGTACATAAAGTAACAAACACGCAGTCTACATGTCCGTCTTAGCTAGCAGGTAAAAGCTACATTAGCTAAGCTAATTTTACTAGTTCGGCAGTACGAACTACATACAGTAAATATCTGATATTTATATTAGAATCACACAGAGGTGATGTAAGGTGATGTACTGTAAGATGTAATGTACTTACGTTGTTTATAAGTTAGACAGGAACAAAACCAGAGCTAGTTTTAAACTTGTGGTTTGTTTGTTGTTGTCATGGCAACTCCGTAGCAACTGCCTGCCAAAATGGCTGTTACAAAATCACACGGGAACTATGTATTAATTACATAGAAAGCTCTTCAGCTTATGTCTTCATTACAGTAGCTTCATAACAATAAGTAATACCCTGTATGCATCTGCCTGAGAAGAAGAAAAGCAAAACAAGATGGTAACAATCAGTCACCTTTCTCCCACTAATGTGCCTAACGAGGACCTTCTTTAAGAGCCACTAATCAATAGGTGGCTGTTATGTGTCATCAGAGCACAAAAGCAGTCCCGTAAAAAAATCTGACATAGAGAATAAAAGTTAAACAGAACCTCCACAGGAAACAAACGCTGAATGTAGAATACCATAAGTTACATCAGCCTGACCAGCAGCTCACATGATACCAGGTTATTTACAACATTATCTGTACATCTAAGCATAAATACATTGCCTCAGGATTTACATGGCATCACTAAGGAGGAGGAGGCATTCTGCTGCAGCCACCGACAAACTCTGCAAACTAAATCTAGCACCCAGCAAGCTGCTCGGTCAGCTGAGAATGAGCCTGCATGTAGAGCCTTACAGTGCATTGCAAAGCATCGGTGAGCATCAGCCTTCAAGTCTGGACAGAGCTTCTCACTTATTACCTTGTTTAAAGGTGGAAAGTATTCACACCCCTTTGTATTTTCTGCTGTTTTAGTTGCAGATCTATTATAAAAAGCCATTAAAGCTGTAATATGTTACTATTATTAAAAAAATACTTTATATATATGTTAAAACTGTCAGTGTGCTGTGATAGTTTGGCATGACAAATAATTTATGAAAAATTGAACTACTCTGCCTTCTCCTTAGAAAGGCAGTGCTAACTAGAAACAACCAATCAGAGAAAGGAGGCAGGTCTTACTGCTGCCAATCACACTCAGGCTAGTTAGCATAGCCACTGATAGCAGGTAAACAGTTTTTCTGTAACTGTAAGTTGTTTCTTTGCCATTAGCACATTTAGTAGTTGATTGACAGCAGTAAATCCCTCCTCCCGGCTCTGACAGGTTGTTATGTTGACAGTTTTAACAAATATGTAAAAGACATATTTTATTAAATTTACGTACTGCAGCTTTTATGACAAAGTAAAGACATTGTTACATTTGTGCAAAAGAAACACATTTTAGTTACAAAAATATCACCATTGCTGTAAAGGATTTGCTTAAAATGTGATATTTTCTGGGTAAATATACTACATCATGAGTTCACATATTGTTTCCTGACGCAGTGTCCAAGAGAGCGCAGAGAATAAGGATTTGTTAAAAATGATCGTCATAATTTCAGGTTTTACCAATATTATCGCCATCCTGTTACTTTGTCCAATCAGCAATTTAAACATAATAGCGACTAAAGCATCCAAACTGGTTGCTGTGACACTGAACTGTAGTGAATCTGATTTCCACTGATCCTCCTTCAGATGTTTCTGCCACTTGATTGGAGTCCATCTGCAGACTGAACTGGATTTAGGACTTCTCTAAATAACGTATCCTGGATTGTGTCAAAGTACAACTTTAAGTAAAGAGACAGAGGACAGTTCTGCACCTGAGACTAAAGGCAAAACATTGAACAACAAGAAGAGGCTTCTGTGATTAAACCTGTTCCTATTCGTTTCCAGCTGAAAAAATGAACAAAATATTACTATATATAGCAAATGGTAGAAAAAACCCCCCAAAATGCAGCCTTACAAAGGGGTGTGAATACTTTCTGCTGGTGCTGTACACCTAATCAATAAGATCCAGTGAAACCATTAGCCTTCAGAAGTTAGCCAGCAGTCCACCTGGATGGACTCTGTGGTTGTAACGTGATAAAATGTGGGAACGTCTAAAGGCCGTGATCTTCTGGAGCGGCGAGTCGTCCGGGCGCCTCGGTGTCACCGGGTCAGGAGCCGTCAGCGTCTGATTGGCCCTCAGGTCAACTTCCTGTTCACACACACAAAGCGCTTCGCTTAGTCCTGATCGCTTCTGAACTCACAGGTTATCAATATGTTGATTTCAGTCGTATTAGACAGAGATGGGTAGAGTACACAAAATTATAATGAAGTAAGAGCAGCATTACTTCAACATATTTTTACTCAAATAAAAGTACAAAGTAACTACTAAGAAATTACTCAAGTAAGAGAAAGAAAAATATTTAGTAAAAAGTTAACTCAAGTACTGAGTAACTGAACAAATTTATCAGTCATTTAATGTTTAAAATTTACACAATCAGATGGACCAAAATTATAATGTTAAGTGGAAATTTTGGTATTTTAAAGACCAAAGTAGACTTTTTAATACTTTTTTTTACTCGTACTCAAGTAAATTCTTAAGACTTTTTATTTTCACTGGAGTAAAAATATGTTGAATTTGTGCTATTCTAACTTGAGTACAAGTTTTGGGAACTCTGCCCTCCTCTTCAATGACAAAATGACAGAACCAAATGACGATGATGGAAGGAAATGTATTTATTGGTTCTCTCCTGGTCTTTTCTTGAATCACCTGTTGCAATGCGGTCCGTATGCATCCAGCATGACGGTGCTGGCCTGCTCCAGGTCCCACCGGTGGCGCTGCAGCAGCTCCTCACACTCGGCTCTCGACCTCAAACCCAAACGAAACAGCTGCTCCACCTGCAGCGCAGAGGGTGGAGGAATTTAACACGAGAAGGAGCAGTTCCTCTGAATTTAACACGAGAAGGAGCAGTTCCTCTGAATTTAACACGAGAAGGAGCAGTTCATCTGAATTTAACACGAGAAGGAGCAGTTCCTCTGAATTTAACACGAGAAGGAGCAGTTTCTCTGAATTTAACACGAGAAGGAGCAGTTCCTCTGAATTTAACACGAGAAAGAGCAGTTCCTCTGAATTTAACAAGTAGGAACAGTTCAGTCGCTCTGCAGTTACCTAGCAACAAACTGCTGGGTAAGTAGCCTTTTCAAGTTCCCTCCCAGCTTTGGTTACCTAGCAACGACCTGCTGAGTAACTGACAGCAGCAGTTTACAGTTCTTCTTCATAACTGATGTAAAATAAAAAAACATGATTGAGTGAAAACTGTGGATAAAACATGAAAGGTCAGACCACCAGTTTGGTAGTATAAGATATTTAAAGGAAAACACTAATCAGTAATTATCAATATTGACTGACATGGAATGCTTATGTTATGATGAGTTTTTCAGCCATATTATTGAGAGAGGAAGACCTCCAACTTGTTTTGGTTTCATGTTTTAAAATGAGCTGCTGGAGCAGTTTGGAGGAGCGTCAGCAGCATTTCTGATTTATGAGCCACTTAAAGGGAACTAGTTTGGGATGACACCTAAAGTGGCAGACAGTCCCCAAGGAGCTGCAGGAAGGAGGAGCGGAGAGGTGTCAACAGTAACCGAGCCTCAATATTCAGGCAGACGCTCAGTGACATTAATGAGGTTTAACACAATAATAACAACGAGACTTCGCTGCTGATCTTCTTTATCAGTGCAGGATGCTAACATTTATACATTTATAGTGTGCAGATGTTTGTGTTTTATAACATCAAAACTCTTTCTTTCAGCTGAGAAACAAAGATGTTTGGGAGTTAAAAATATAAACAATAAGAAAGAGGTTTAACCTAATTTCATCACTCTTTGATAGCAGCCTATCAACAGGCCGCATCTTGTCATGACAATATTTGCCACTCCAGTTGAGGACATTTTTTCATTTTTCATTATTTCAGTTTTCCAGGACTTCACAATAGTTTTTGTAATTTTTCCAATCAACATCCTAAATTTTGATTGGAAAAAGGTGACTGTAAATCTCAGCTTTAGTTACTGACCATATTGATCACGAACGATAACTTGGCATCAAGTAAGGATGAGGCAGCAGTGTAGAGGAAGTAATAAACACTGCCACCTGCAGGTGGGAGTTAGCATAAATCCAGTGTTTCTCACCAAAAAAAAAAAAGCAAAAAACACAAAATGATGCAATTCTGTGGAGAAAAATGCAGGGACTGGTTGGTTTTGCGTTAATTCGAGCAAACTGCGAAAAACTGGAGGAATAAATGTACCTTTAAGAAATTAACAGCCTGAGGAACGCTCCAGTTGTGGCTCTGCAGAGCAGCTTTACATTCCTCCGTCGTGACGCCATGAACGGCTCCTTGGACCTGCAAACAGCACCAGTGACAGGAAATGACACAGAAGTTAATGAAACACTGCAAAAACACAAAATCTTACCAAGTATTTCATTCAGATTTCTAGTGTAAATATTTTAGGATACTTGAAATAAGATAAAACTAACTTACAAATAACTTTTCAAAATAAAAGAGTTTGTTTTGAGTGAATTATTCCTTAATATTGATGAAAAAGTTACACTTATAATTTTTATCAAATGTCTTGTTATAAGTGAAATAATCTTCCACTTTTTCATGAATTATCTACTTACTTATTTACAAGCTAATGTTCAGTTAGTTTTGACTTATTTCAAGTGACCTAAAATATTTGTACTAAAAACTAAACCAAAAATACTTCAAGTACTGGTTCCATTGGCAAATAATTTACTTATAGAAAAAATGTTATGTCTGAAATAATCTGTCAGTGAAACTGGTATTATTTTCATCAATACGAAGGATCTATTATCTTCAAATAAGCTCATATATCATCCTGAAAAGATACTTGTAAGTCAGTTTTGTCTTAATTCAAATGTTCCAAGATATTTGTACCAGAAACTGAACCAAAATTACTTGGTAAGGTTTTGTTTTTGCAGTGAGCATGAACACTTTTCCCTCTTATAGGCCAGGTGCCAAAAATATTTAGAATAAATAGATTTACTATACAAATATTTAACAAACATTGTTAATACAAAGAAGGAAAAACATGAGGGTAATCATTTCAGTGTTATTAATAATTATTAATTGGTACAATGAATTAAGCTGCAACCTATTTTAAATGAGCCCACAGCACTTTGAGGTTTCCCTCCAATCACGGGAACTGATGATTAATGATTTTCTGCTTTAAGGCTAAAATGTTCTGCAGAAATCAGGTCACATCTGCTGCTTTGTGAACAGAGAGTTCTGCTAATTAAAACGCGGTCGACAAATGGTTGTTACTTTAATAAACGAGGTCAGTCGGATGCTGAAAAATTACTGATTTCAGTTTTCCTCGCCTGCAGCAAACATTGGCATTTGTGGGATCGCCACATTTCAAGAGAGAGAGTCTGAGCTCACCTGTGTGATGCTCTGCTCCTGTTGCATGCTGGGAGCTGCGGTCCCGCCGTTGTTGTTGTTGTAGGAGGAGTTTGGTTTCGCTCCGCCCGTTTGCTGCTGCTGCTGCTGCATCATGGGTTTGACTGCCGCCATGTTGGCTGCGCCGTATCTTATCAGAAAAAACAAAAACCAGGAGCTCAGAATAATAATGAGTGAGACGATAACTGGACAGAGGGACGGTTGGATGAACAGACAAATGGTTGGATGGATGGACGGATGGATGGATGGATAGTTGGATGGTTTGTTGGATGAACGGATGGACGGACGGATGGTTGGATGGTTTGTTGGATGAACGGATGGATGGATGGATGGATGAACGGATGGATGGTTCGTTGGATGAATGAATGGATGAACTGAACTCTGATCAGGTGAGTTTGAACGAACCGCTCCAGAAAGGCTGGTCTCTCCGGCAGCGGGTTGGGGGCGGAGCTCTGAGGGCTGTCCATCATGGCGGACAGGCCCCGCCCCTCTCTGAAGGCGAGCGGCTCCAGCAGCGCGGTGGAGGAGTAAGACGAGGTCGCCGGCCTGGAGACAGAGGAGGAGCTGGAGGACAGCAGGGGGCCGAGGAGCCCCGCCGCCCGCCGCGGGGACACCAAGAGCGGCGGCGGTGGCAGCACCACGAGCGTGGAGGACAGAGCCGGCGCCAGCGGGAGCGGGGAGGAGGAGCGGGAGCCCGGCTGGGAGAAAGCGTGGTCTCTGGGTGGGATCTGAGGCGGAGCGTTGTCCTCGTCTCCCAGGGAGATGGAGCTGGAGCGCGCCCCCTGCTGGGCGCCGCGGGTGGCGTAGCTCTGCTTGGAGGGGCGTAAGGGGGGCACGGGGCTGCGGGGGGGCAGCACAGGCCGGTCCTCGAAGCAGGAAGTGATGGAGGTGGAAGAGGAGGAGGGGGAGGGCGGAGGAAGGTAGATCTGTCTGTGGGCGCCAAACGGAGCCAGAGGCATCGGGGTGGGGGAGGACGGGAGGGAACGACCGGTTGCCATGGGAACCTGGAGCTTGACCATCACCTGTAAGTAGACAAAAGCAAGAAGAAGGGGCAGATGGAAATTATCAAGCTTATTTCAATTTATCATGCGATTAATTGATCTTCTGGTTTAGCTTGTGTTTAATAATCTACTGTTGATCAAGGAGCTTCCAGTGGTTGCAGACCTACCTCTCTCTGCAGCTCCTGGAAGAGGTCGGCAGACTGCGACTCGCTCCTTCCCGCCATGCTGGACAGAGGGGGGCCCAGGGTTTCTTCAGGCGGGCCCTTGTTGATGGAGCGCACCTCCTGATCCTCTGATTGGTCGTCAAAGTCTGCAGTGACCTCGTCGTAGGCTGGCTGGGGCAGAGGCCAGTCCAGGATGGACGGCGTGTCCTGAGGGGGGAAACAGGATAATTAAAACAGTCAGGAGTCAGAGAAAGAGAAAATGAAACAAATTAACATGTGACGACCTCATCTGAAACAGTCGCAGTTTACGATAAGATGCTAACTTTTGATATTTACAGAAAAAGCATTGGTAAAAACACAAAGGCAGCAACAGAAAGGTCGCTAGAGACAGCAAAGCTGGGCAAACAAACCTGTGGCTGCATTGATTAAAACAGGGTTTCTGCAGGTTTCACCAACTCAAATGTAAGACTCTTCAGACCCTTTTAAGGCTATTGTCAAAGGAATTTAAGACCTATATCTCCACAGGAATGTACAAATTTCGTCCAGCCAACTGGCGAACAATTAGGTGATAAACACAAAAAGCTAGCTAGTTAGCTAGCTAACTAGGTAGCTAGTTAGCTAGCTAGCTTTTTGTGTTTATCACTGAACAGAGAAGCTAACATTTTCAACAGTTGGCTGGAAGAAGATTGTACATTTCTCTGGAGTAACAGTTAGCTAGGTAGCCAGCTTTTTGTGTCTATCATTGGTTAGCTAGCTAGCTAGCTGGCAAGGGTGTGTTAGCAGTGAGTTAGCATTCAGGCTATTGCAGGTGAATCATTCATTATTTCCGTAAATTGTTTAATTTCATTGTTTATATTTAGTTACTCGGGCCATAGTCAGGTATTCGTCTGCTTGATGTGTGATGGATGTGGATTGTTTGTTCAGACTTTTATTACTGCAACAGTCACTGAGCAAGAATAGGGTGAGATATCAAATATCAGTTCCAATATTTTATTTTATTTTTTTAATTTAAGAAAAAGATGCATTTTTGGTTTGATTTTTCCATTCTGACTCTGATCTCCAACATGGAAGCTGGCTTCACATTTTCACCATGTTCCTCAGTCCAGATCTCTGACAGCAGACTGAAGCTGCAGGCTTGAATTTCTGTCGATATCTGAAGCATGAGGGGTACGCAGTCGATCGATGAGCTCCAATCATCATCACGCTGCACCTGCTTGAGTGCATCATCATGCATCCAAGAGGAAAAGTTATGAATCACGTCTCCAGGCTAAAGGTCATCCCACCTGTTTGGAGAACAGTAAAACTGATGATGATCACTGCTTGTTTGAACTTTCAGCTGTGATTTTATTAGTGTTCTTGGTCGTGGAAGGTCTCTAATGCGTCTTTAGACCCACTGTACTGGTGTTACCTTGCTTTCACAGTGGGAATGGGTTAAGTTAAAAGGTCAGAGGCTAAAACCTTCAGATTAGATAGGAGCCTCTCCACTAATTGCTAGCTTGGCTCCACTGGGGGATTTGGGTTTGCCGCTAATGGAAAAACAAATCATCTTAACTTCCAACCTCAGCTCAATGAGGCGTAGAACAACATTGCTTTCCATAAATTCAGTTCCATGACCCACAGTGCGGTCAATGAGCTTTGGCGGTTAATTAAAACCTGACATTTGACCGCAGCAAGCTCCAGAGCAAAGGCAACGTAGCTGATATGGCAGACAGAGCAATAAACATTTTCCCATTAAATCCATGACCTCTAATTCATCTCTAGCCCTGTATCACTTATGGTTGTTCTTGGGTCTAAATTAGCAAATAAATGTTACATAATTATCTACAAACCTTTAAATATTTTCTAGCAGCAGTATTTCATTTAAAATTTTTTAATTCACCACAAAAAGCTGCTAAAAGTTACTTTATATTGTTTAGAAAACTAGTCACATGTAATATTTACCCCATTAGAAACTTATGCTCTAAGAAAAAACAACAATAGATGAGAACTTGTTGAATTTCTGTAAAAAAAACAAACTATAAATTGTCCACTCAATTATAAATTACACTAAATATTGTTCTTCTCGTCTCAGCTGAATATTTTTTAATAATATTAGAAAAACATTTTTAAATCCATATATCAAAGCTATGTTGTCCATTTTAAATGGTAAAGATGTTCAAATTTAAGGTCTAAATTACAACTCAGTCGTGTTAAATGTATGAATCAATGGAACAGGAAGTGCTTTTATTTTGGTAAGTTCAACTAGAAGAATCTGTGGCATTGCAGCTAGCTTAGCAAAGAGAGAATTTCAGGGGTGAGTTACGTGCATTTTGTTCTAAAATAAGTCATTTATTACAGCTTTCATTAGGATAAATATTCATGTGGACATGATTAAAAATCTACAGTAAACAGGAAGAGATTGCTATGAGTAGCATAATTCAAATGTCAGTAAAACATACAGTAGCTGCAGTCTATAGCTCACATGTCAGCTTTATTTCACGTCTGTATGACGTGAAATAAAATCTGGAACTAAAAGTCGAGTTCTGGTGGAAAGTTCCAGAAAAAAAATCTTGTTAAGTTCCAGTAAAACCTTTGACGGACTTATATTATTTTTTTATTTTCCCATCTGCATTTTGGGCTTCAAGACAAAAGCAAACAAAAACAGATTAAACTGATCTACAATGAACTCCTCTCCACCGTTCGGTATTCACGGATTCGCCAATGTGTTGATTTTATTTACTTGTATCTAAAACATTAAATCATAATATCTTCAGAAGCTGTCTCAAGTATTTGTGGATTTTAGAAATTCAATCCACTGTATCCGTTTTTGACATCTTACAGAAGGTATCATTACTGATAAAAAAGAAATCTTGTAAACCTGTGCATCCTCTTCAAATCATTCAGCTAAAATGCATCCCTCTTTGTGGATGCCTAATCATCTATTGTGATGCAGTAGCATCTTCAGCCCTGAAACTAAACAGATGTATCCAAACAGAAAACACAAACTTTGTCTGAAAGGATGGTAACTGTGAAAGATCGAGCAAACAAAACCAGATTTTCCGTGACTTGGCACAGTCTGGATGCTGCTCCTTGGAGAATTGATGTTTTACAGCCTTCTGCGCAACAAGAATGCAAACAAATAAAAACATCTGAACTTGCTTTGTGTGTCACGGTCAGTGTAGTGGATGAGGTGAGGAGAGACCCCCGAGACCCAGATTATGGTGATGATGATTTTAATAATGAAAATGCTCACAAGCAGTCCAGGACAGGCAGCACGGCAGGAAACAAGCACACAGCTAAATGCCAGTAACAACTGACAATAAGGACAAAAACGAGAGCAAGCACAAACCAGGACTTGGCAGTTCCACTGGAGAGTATAGACTGACGCAGCAGCATACACTTGACAATCAACAAACAAAGACAACAGGTGGGACTAAATACACACAGGGGTAATCAAGGGAACGAGACACACCTGGGAACAATCAACGGGGAAGACGCAGAGACAGAGGGAGCAAACTGAAGACAAAAAACTCTAAAAATAAATACACAGAAACACGATCCTGACATTGTGAAGATTTGGCAAAACAAAAGCACAGAAAATAGAAAAGTTAAGAGCGGTAGCTGTAATTACAAGTTTGTGTTGTCATGGTTTGGAGGCCATCTGGCTTTACTTGATGCTCGTTCAAGTAAAGAACAAATATGTATGCTAATCGTCATTCATACTACTAATAAAACAGCAATGAGACTTCTGTGTGAATGGGCTACATCCACAAAGCAAATCACATGTGGATTGCTGGAAATAATAATACATGGACCAGTTTATGGATTGATTTTAAAGACAGTATTATGTATTTCCACACACTTAGTGCCATTTCATAGCACCATAAAGTAACTATGTTAACTTAAGCAGTTAAAAAAATGCTATATCAAATATGACTTAATTGTATTTTGGAATTTAACACCTTGAAATTGGCCCCATAAAAGGTCATCATCTCTGATGACCTATGGAAACCTTTTATTAATATCTTTAAAATGATATTGGCACAAACAAAAAATCTTGCTGCACAAACGTAGCCGAAATGTTTGACACCAATTTTGTTCGATTTGAAGAAGGTAGGGCGGAAAACTCCACTCGGTTATCTGGAAATAGTGGATCGGATTTTTGTTTGGGTGAAAATATCGTAATTCAGTCGTTCAGACTGTGGTGAAAAAGTCACACAAGGAGATTGGTGAGTCAGAATCTACCTTCAGAGTGTCTTCATCCGGTTGGTGCGTCTCTGTGAGCGGCGAGGGCGTGGTCGAGCTGAAGCTGTCGTCTGTGAAGTCGATGAGCGACACCTCGCTTTTGGCCGATCGCACGCCGCTGCCCTCCCACGGCCGCAGCTTCAGACCGAGAGACGCGCCCAGCTTCTTCAGCCCAGATGATGTGCTGAAGTCGTCCTCGTCATCGTAGTCGTCCATCACGGAGTCGTACAGCGGCTCTGAGAGCGCATGGAAACACTGTGGTGAGGCTTGGAAATGTGGGATCTTGGGTTGCAAAGAGGAAAACTTACTTTTGAGCAGAACAGCTGGCTTTGGTGGACGAGGAGGAGGCTTCTCTGTTAAAAACAGAGTTTGTTAGACTTTACCAGAAGCTTTAGATCTAACATCATCACAGTCAAATTAAATAAAAACAAGTTACTCTTTGCACGGTTGGGCAGTTTGGTTGGTCTTGCAGATCCAGAATCAAATCCCAAGATATCTGGCGGGTCCATCGGGTTCCCCAAATACAAACTGAGGAAGAACAAATTTAGTTCTTCTGAGGTTATAAAAGCTGCAGGACAAAATTAAATCAAATGTCTAAGTATATATGACACACAATTTGCTGTTGTGAGAACCAATCTAGACAACGTGTGAAACAGTGGTGGGCTCTGCTGCCCTCCAGTGGAGAGCTGTGGGAACTGCACTGTAAATACGGCTCTGATCAGAAGTTTCTATAAGCTCATCACAGCTGTGAATCTCACTTTAATGAAGTCCAAAAGTCTGAATTTATTGCATAATTCCTCCAATAATTGTCAAAATTCTAAATAGATTAATTCAGCTACATCTTTTCCACTTTTCCTGTTGTTTTTCAACATAGAACAATCCCAAAAACACTTCAAAACTTGTTTTGGAGTTGATAAAGCAGGTTAACATCCAGCTTCTTGAAGTGCACCTGTTGAAATTTGCAAACTATGTTTTACTGTAGAGCTACTTAATCTACTTGATCTCAGCTCTCCTCTAAAAGCCAGTTGGTTTGGTCAGATATTCAAGAACAGGGTTTATGCAGGTTTCACCAACTCAAATTAAGACTTTTTAAGACCAGTATGAATAAAATTTAAGAGCTGCAACACGACAGAGATGTACAAAAAAACATGCAGGGACCAAAACTGTGAAATTTCTGGGGTCTTTTTGTGGCTCTTGGCAGCAGCTTTGGCATATGGCTCATTAGCTAGCTAGCTAGTTAGCAAACAAGCATTAGCAGATTGTTACCGATAGCCTTTACTACCTTGAATCACAGCATACAATGAGAGGAGATGTCTGCGCACAATGAAAATTTTTGTCTGATAGAAAGATCCCATAATAAAAAAACCACATAGAATATCTGAGATTAAATTGTCTACGCAACAACATAAATTAAGACTTGTAATTGCCATATCTACAGGCTACGGTTAACCCTAACCCCCCCCCCCCATGTCTTGTTATCACCAGCCTCAAGACTTCTACTTGCATTTTTACCCACCTTTATTGTTAGACTTGATTTTAAATTGTAAGCAACATTGTGATGTGAGAGAAATGTTTTATTTAAACTCCTAAATGCTACACTTACATTGAAAATAATCAGTTAATAAACAGTCAGTTTAGCTGGTGTTCACCTGTCAATGCGGTCTGCGTGTCCCCAGCTCCTGTGAGGGTCTGTGTCGCCGTGTCCAGTGTGGATGAAGGAGTGTTTCAGCGGCCGGCTGATGTCCTGGGCGGACAAGCCGGCCACGGAGGTCACAACGTGCCGAGGAAACTGACCGACACGCAGCGTCCGTCGGTTCTGCCCGCGCCACCAGTAATGCTCCGCCCTGAAGACACGGGCACAAGGAAGGTGAAAAACTCATTTCTGCTTTTATTTCCTTTGAAAACATTTGACCAATCAGAAAAATTGAAGGCCAGTATGAGTTTGGTTTCTTCTTTTCAGATCAATGTAATTAAAACAGGGTTTTCCTCAAATTTAAGACTTTTTAAGACCATTAAAAGTTTTTGAGACCTGCATTACATCAGAAATGTACAAAAGAAACAGTGTTAATCCCCAAAATGCCAATCTTTTTGCACAGAATCAATGCAGCATTGTAACAAAGATGAACATCATGCAGCCAACTGGTGATAAATTTACATTTAAACAATGATAAACACAAAAAAGCAAGCTTGCTAGCTAACTAGCTCACTTTTTAGCTTGATAACTTATTCCCCACTGCAGGAACCAGAACCAATCGTTCCTGCTAATATAGCTGTTAATATAAAGCTGTTAATATAATTTGGTTAGTTAGCAGGGGACAATTAGCTGCTAGCTAGCGGTAGCCTGAACCGCCTCAAGCCACAGAGCACAATGAAGAAGCAACTCAAGCACCCCAGGAGAAAAAAAGAAGACTACACAAAATATACAAGATTAAATAGCCCTGCCACCACAAAATATAAGACCTGCAATTAAGGTATTTAAGCAAGGGACCTATTTTAAAAAATAAATTAAGACTTTTTAAAACCTTAATTTTAAGATACACAAATTCAAGACTTTTTAAGGATGCAAAAGTTTCAGCTTTCTCAAACTGCTTCTGCTGGTTAGTCACACTGACCTTCCCTCAATGATCGTAATGACGTCGTTCATTTGAATTTGGAGTTTCTCTTCTTCCTCGAAGTCCTGCAGGGCCTTCATGTCTGTCGGCAACATCTGATCAAACACAAACACAGGAGAAGAGGCACTTAAGATGCAGCCTCAAGATCCTGTTGTGAAAAATATCACACGTAAAGTGTTTCAACATCAAAATGCATTGTGTTAGTGCTGTAACATTCTTCAGAATGGAAGTTATTACTGAAAGAAGAAGCATGTTAGCTGTTTTTATCATCACTGAAGTGATCAAAGTGAATCGAAATTTAGACATTTTTCCGTTCCAATTATTTTGAAAGTTTCACACAACTGCTACTTAATTTTAAATTATCTTTTTTTTAATTGAAAAATCTATTTTTTATTTAAACAAAATCCTTCTCACTTCACAAAGAAGGAAAAAAAAAACTATGTTCTTGTCATTTTTGGATCAGAATGGGCTAGGCTAAAATTGGTATCAACAAGTCAGATGATCTAAAATCATCCATAAAAATGTCTGATTGGTGCCCCTCTGCTTTTAAACCCATTATTCTGCGTATTGATGAGATAACGAGGTGAAGCTGAGTGACCTCGAGCAGAAAGTCTCTGAGAGCGATGAAGGTGGGCCGGTCGTCAGGTTTGGGGCTCCAGCACTGCAGCATGACGTTGTAGATGTCTTGAGGACAGTCGTCAGGTTTACACAGCCTCTCAGCCTCAACATCAACCTTGTGGAGGATCTGCAGATGGGAATTCATTTCTCAGAAAAACCAAAAAAATCTATTTATTTTTCTCTTAAAGGGGACCTATTAATTTTGTGGAACAGGTTATGGTAGGCCTAAACAAAACATGTTCATTACTTTTTATGCACAAAATCTTTCCTAGATAATGAGGTTTCAGTCTGTTCAGTTCAGCCTTTCAGATTGAGCAGTTTTAGTGCCTCTGTCTCTTTAAATCCGAATAATCTGCTGCTGGCCATGACCCCCAATTCAACGTTTATACAGTCACATGAAAATAGCTGCAAACAATTGCACAATTATACAACCGTACAGTACAGCTTTAAAAAGCATTAGCAGAGCCTCCTGCACAGCCAACAAGAATGCGGCAAGTGGTTTCTGGGTGGTAAGTCAATAACAAAACACTTGTCTATTCCAGCAGCCATTGTACCGCACATACAGCAGAAAAACCAGCCGACAAAACTTGCAGGAGTTCAGCTTGGGTTGCTGGTAACGGGCAGAGTTCTGCTGTGGTTGCTAGGCTAGGTAACAGCACAGCTCCCATTGAATGTAATTTAATCCAGAAGGTTTTGAAATGGCTCATTTTCCAGACACCAAAGAACATGAACTTATAGCCAAAAAACGGCTGGCAGGTTTTCCTAATCCGTTTTTAGAAGCAATTGAGGCCCAAATATTAGTACAAAATGTCTCCTTTAAGGTTTAATGTGTAGAGTGATTGACGTACCTGGCTCCCATTGAGCCCGAGCCACGGCTCCTGTCCGTGGCTGAACATCTCCCACAGGGTGACTCCAAACATCCAGGTATCAGAAGCGTGAGAGAAAGTGCGAGACTTCAGAGACTCTGGAGCACACCTGGACAGAAACAGGAACAAAGATGTAGAGCTGGCAAATCAAAATCAAAAAAAGAATGTCAATACAGAAAAGGAGGAGCGGCCTGATTTCCTCACCAAGGAAAAGGGATTTTGTGGCCTTCCTCCATGATGTATTGATCGGTGTGAGTAGGCAGCGCTCTCATCAGGCCAAAGTCTCCAATCTTCACCGTTTCGTTGGTGGACAGCAGGACGTTGCGGGCGGCCAGGTCTCTGTGGAGGAATCGCCTCTGCTCCAGGTAAGCCATTCCACTCGCCACCTGTACAAATACACACAATGACAGACATTCAAGGTCTTATATAAAAAGAGTCTGTACCTTTAAAGAACAAAAACTGACCTGTACGGCGTAGTTACACAGAATCGAGATGAGGATGTGGCCCTGACGCTTTCTGAGACGATCCAGCAGGGATCCCAGAGGCGCCAACTCAGTCACCTAGAGCCAAAGAAACGTGAGCAAAGATCAGGATGCAGTCAGAGTATTCATACATCCTTATCACACTGCAAGTCAGCGCCTAAATCCGTTTTAGAATCAAATGAACATTGATGTTCACAGAAACTCTATTCAGTCCAACTGAACTGGAGCTGGTTGGACTGGTGCAAAGCTGGTAGAGACGTACAACAAATCGAACACCTGCACTGGTGAGAGCAGAGAATGGTGGTTCTAAAAAGTACCGACTCAGAAGGGCTGAAAACTACAGTGGCCCACAGGGGTCATCAGAATGCAAAAGCCACAACAAAAGTTATGGAACATTTCTTAGATCAACTTCTGTTTTGGCCTAAAATAGCTTTTGTTTGAGTGTTGTGATTTTTGTTGTTGAGCTTTGGGTCTCATCGTGTCGTGGTTTTGGCAGTTGCTTCGTAGCTTTTGTTGCGTCGTAACATTCGTTGTGTTGCAGTTTGTGTTGTTGAACTTTGGTTCTTGTTGTGTTGTGGTTTTTGTTGTTGAGTTTTGAGTCTCGTTATTTTGTTGGCTGTTGTGGACAACAATAGAATACAAAAATAAGTTACCCAAGTTTTTGTAAAAGGAAAAAAAAAAGAGTAACATTTTCTTTCCAGTAATACTTTGTGTTGGTCTATTACAGAAATACCAATGAAATACATTAAATTAAATCTGGAATGGCTATGAGGTAATGGGTACTTTTTCAAGGCCCCACATTTATGAACACAAAATAAAGTGAAATTAGATAACGACCCCATGAGCTCCTGTTGGACAGCCTGAGGTAATCCTGAGAATAACTGTAGCTATTCCAAACACAGTGGATCCTTTCAAAGTAAAACAGTTTTTGAATAAGACTCTTAATGTGAGCTGAAAAAGAAAACTCTCAGGAATTACCATCTTCATGGGCTGCGTCAGGACGACTCCATAGAGGCTGATGAGGTTCGGGTGGCTCAGAGAGTGCATGGCGTTCACCTCTCTGATGAAGTCATCCAAACCGTCTGAGTCCAGCACGCCGGCCTTCAGACACTTCACTGCCACGGACAGCTGAGGAAACCAAAGGTCATTTCCTGAAACTCTGTGTAAATGCCCTGCAGAGAAACGCCTGTCTCACCACTCTGCCGTTTGGTGCGGTCCACTCTCCTCGCCGTACGACTCCAAATGTGCCGTCTCCGAGTCGCTCAAACAGTTGCATCTCTGACTCTTTGATGAGGCAGGTGAGCGAGTCTCCAGGCTCGCTGCTGGCTGCAGGTGGGACCGACGATGCACCCTGCTGGGGGTCGGTGTCTGACCGCTTCACTGGAAATACCTGCAGATAATCGATCAACAACAACCATTTATGGCTTATTAAGTATGACAAACAAAAGGCAAACTGATCAATCACTTACCAGGTCTGGGTAATCAACAACTTCAATAAGTGACGACAACTGAATATTAACTGTTATTATATAATAGAAACAGACTTAACAACCACTTAGCAATAACTAACAAACAGCTATCACCTCTTAATATTAACTGACTAATAAATATCACTAAGTAATGCTAACTGACTATTATGCAGTAATAGGAACTGACTAATAACTGTTATTAACTAATAGTAACTAATTATCTCTAAGTAGTAACTAAAATGGCTATTACCTCTGTCACTTAGTAATGGTAACTGACTGTTAATAAGTGATGGCGACTCATTATTAACTGTTATTAACTAATGGTAATTGACTATTATCATTAAGTGATGGTAATTGACTATTAACTATCATTAAGTAATGCCAACTAACTATGGACTATCACACAGTAATGGTAACTGACTGTTAAGTAATGGTAACTTACTATTAACTCCTATTAACTAACAGTAATTGACTATTAATTATCATTAAGTAATGCCAACTAACTATGGACTATCACATAGTAATGGTAACTGACTGTTAATAAGTGATGGCGACTCATTATTAACTGTTATTAACTAATGGTAATTGACTATTATCATTAAGTGATGGTAATTGACTATTAACTATCATTAAGTAATGCCAACTAACTATGGACTATCACACAGTAATGGTAACTGACTGTTAAGTAATGGTAACTTACTATTAACTCCTATTAACTAACAGTAATTGACTATTAATTATCATTAAGTAATGCCAACTAACTATGGACTATCACATAGTAATGGTAACTGACTGTTAATAAGTGATGGCAACTCATTATTAACTGTTATTAACTAATGGTAATTGACTGTTAATTATCATTAAGTGATGGTAACTCACCATTGAATATCACTTAGTAATGGTAATTGATTAACACAGTAATAGTAACTGACTAATAACTATTACTAATAATAGTAAAGGACTAATAACTATCACTTAATCTTGTAAGGTATGTCACATGTCATTGAGTTACCCTGATGAGACGTTTTGCTTGATTGTCACATTCATGTTTTAGATTCCTTTTGTTTTATAAATTTACTGTCATAAATCTGGAGAAACTGCTCAAAATTATACACAATGCATCAAATATTTTTAACCAGCACTTATTATAGCTATCTTTAAATGTTTATTAGAATATATATAAGCTTTCCCCCAACCATCAGTGTATTACCAGGTCTTCTCATTAGACAGTGTTGCATTTAATGTACCTTGCTCATCCAGGACTTGCGTTTATAAAGGGCTCTTCTTCTCTTCACCGCCTCCCAAAGCCGCCTCTGACCTGATCCAACAAAACAAAGCAAATAATAATAACAAACACTGTCGACTGTATTTACAACAGAGCATTATTTGATGACCATTCAGGACGTCACACACATAAAGGCATAAAAACAATCCAATCAGTGGCTCTCACCGGGCCGCCCCATGCCGATCTTCTCCAGATCTTCATTCTTGACGTAGTCAAAGTGGGAAAGTCGCGTGACGTTGAGTTCATCCCGGATCCGCAGGAAGTACTGCTGCAGCTGCACGTCAGTCAGCAGCTCCAGCAGCCACTCTGTGCCCTCTTCACTCTGCATCTGCACACACACACACACACACACACACACACACACACACACACACACACACACACACACACATTTTATCTGTTTAACACACTGGCTGTACTGGATGCCATTCAGCTGTAACCTACATGTCTGATCAGACCTGTTATCAGGTTTAATATTAAATATACTCTGTGTATTTATAATAACTTGCTTGGGAAATGTTTTAGTTTAGTTTACAATTACTTTTTAAAGCACTTTGAACTGCTTTGTTGCTGAAATGTGCTTTACAAATAAACTTGACCTTAAAGCAATGGTGAGGAAAAACAAGTCAGTCGTTAAGAGAAGAAAACCTGAATGTTTTGGTTCTTTACCAAATCAAATGAGTAGACCTGCTGTCACAATAACAAATTTTGTCCCAGACGTTATTGCGATAAATGATAATATTGTTGTTTTGGGACCATTGTCAAGTAATATAATGGTGTTGGAATATAATAATAATAAAACTAAAAGAACACATTCTCAAAGATTAATAAACTTTAAATACTACTGAACATTTAAAACTAATTGGAAGACATTTTAAAAACAGAAACAACAAATAAAATGAATTATGGAGTCTCTGTAAACAAAATTGTCCTTCAAAATACAGGACTTGTTGAGACCAAAACACCAAACTGAAACTTTTGTCATCCAGTTTTTGGTAGAAAAAGAGAGAAAAATGATAAAACATGCAAATGGAAATGATGAAGTTTGTTTTAATTTATCATGTGATTAACTGCTTATTGTTTACTAGTTACCACAAACTCTTAACTGCTTTGGTAAACGTTTTTCCCCTTAACAACTGAAAACCTCATTTTGGATTCTTTTTTTTAAAAAATTGATCAAACTGTACGAATAATTCTCTTTCCAGTTATGTTGTTCTATGACAAAACATCAAAATGAAATCTTGAGGTCTGGAAAGTTTAAAAGACATTAACAGATTCGCACTGCGAAGCAGAGATTTATCTCCCATAGTTCAGCTGTAACCAGGAGAAACGACCACATTCTGGCTACATTAATGCATAAATGATGTAATGAGAGAAATGCTGCAGATCCACCCACAGCATCGGACTTTCTTTTTACCATTTGTCCCCCGATTCTGCTGCCCCTCTCCTCCTCGTCCTCGCCCTCCCCCTCCGCTCGGGCGTAGGGGAGTCGCTGGTACATGTAGCTCTCCCCCATGCTGGAGCCGCTCCTCTCCTCCTGGTCTTGTGCTATTCAAAGGAAGCTCTGCTTTTAGTCCAACGCGCTAATCTCCTCTCATCTCCGTGACCTCCTTGCGTTCAACCGATGCGACACACACACACTCCTCTGGTCGTATCACCTAAAGCGATCTCTGGATCCTCCCTCCTGCTGCTCTTTTCGCTCCCTGCTGACTCACGGCTGCCTGCGGCGTCGGACACCTCCACGATTCCCCTCTTTCTCTTTCTCTCTCTGGCGTTTCCTCCTCTCCATCTGCTCCTGGCTCAGCAGCCGATCTCCGCCGTCTGATGGTGCTAAATAATTCAGCTGCTCTCATCAGAGACAGGATGGAGAGAGATGTGGAGTCGGTTCCCAGCATGCATTAGAAAGACGATGCACAAAGGAGCGACCGCTCTGATGGATGAATCGAGGATTTCCACCGATTTAATCAGAGAGAACTCCATTATGAAAAACCCCTGGCTGGGATTTGAACCCAGAACTGGATAAATGGTCCCAGACGTTATCGCGATAAACGATTATACTGTTGTTTTGAGACCATTTTTAAGTGATATATAATGGTAATAATGGCACAACAATGCAAGAACACATTCTCACAGCTGAATAAACGAAAAAACATTTAAGGATGACACTTTAATTATCCAAAATAAAACAAAACAACAAATAAAATTAACTATGAAGTTTCTGTAAACAAAAATGTCCTGCAAAAATCAGCTGGTTGAGACCAAAACACCAAACTGAAGACTTTTACCATCCAGTTTCTGGTAGAGAGGAAAACAATAAATCAAACAAACTGAAATTATTGAGCTCTTTTTAATTCATCAGGATCTTCAACAGTGCTACCAACTGATATCTCCCCAGTAAAATACCAGTTTCTGACACTTGTTTATTGTAAAACTGTTTACCTATGTTTGCCAGTTATTAATCAATCAGGTTTATTTTTGTAGCCCATTTCAGCAACAAGGCAGTTCAAAGAGCTTTACATCACAAAAATACAGACACTGATTGGAGAACAAAAATTATCAAAAACATCAGAACACATCAGATATGTTGGCCGATGTTCCATTAATTTGCATTAAAATACCTAGAAAGTGATGAATAGAATTTACGTTTTTGGATTTGACAATTTAATACCAAATTTAACCGAAAACAAAAAAAATATAAAAGAATTGGTTAATAAAAAATGAACATTTGGTGCTTTTTTATTTGTTTGCATCTGTTTTTTAAATGCCTAATGTTTAAAAAGTGAATTAGCATCAACTACCCGGGTTGGTGAAACAAATTTATGAATTCTGATCCAAGGGGCCCCAAAAAGAATCACTCTGAGGGCGCTGAATGGCCCCCGCGCCACACTTTGAACACCCCTAATGTCAACAGTGGGACAGTGAATGTGCTATTGTATCCTGCAAGATTCTGTTGAAGATTAAAGCAAAACAAAAAACGAAAAGATGTTGAGTGGGTGTGAAAGTGGGCTGTTGCCAATAGCAACAAGGCCAAACGGTGCATCAAATCAGTCCATATCGATGTTTGTTCATCTGTAAGGAATGAGCACAAAATCTGAGTCGTGTTTTATGGAGGGCAGAGCTAAATTTAGCTTCAGCTGGCCTGGAATCAGCGTGAAGGCGGTTCAGATTCATTCTGGGCGGTTTAAAAATGAGGAGAGGAAGTAAAAACACCACGATGCTCTAACAGCAACACCTGATGCAGGTACAGCTCAAAAAATAAGAAATGCCTTTTTATTTCACTCATTTCAGGGCTCTCACAAGGAAGTAAAATACTCCCATAAATTTGCAGTATGAGTCAGTAATAACAGGATTTAGGACCTATAATTCGCATTTTCACTGGTTGTACTTGTTTACACTTCATGTTTTATCATTTTAACACCAAACAAAACCCATCGCAGTGGCCATGCTGTCATTTTTCTCCTCTTAAATTCCCCATATGACTGTAAAGTCTATCAGGTTACTATATATTTCTTATTAGAACATTGTTAGATTATTTGATTGGTAAAATACATAAAGGCATAAATGTACAATTCTGGTTTAAATGTATTTAGTTTTGCCTTATATTTTACTAATTAAATGAAGAAACCCTTAAAATACTTGAATGCCTGTCAAAAGTATAATATTTTACCAGTTTTTCTTTAAATCAATAAATTATATGTGATGCATTGAATTGCCCTATTAAAGTTTTTTTTTTAAACTTCTTTTTCATGTAACCATCCAAAATAAAGCTTTTTCCATGAAAACTACAGTGAATCTGCCGCCTGTAATGTTCAGCTTCTCCACCAGGGGGCTAAAACAGGTAGGATTCAACACAGTAGATTTAATTCTGTTAAAAATTAAAAAAAATATGTGTATTAGAAATGTTATTTGGTTTTAGGTCGCTGATCTTACCCTGCAGGAGTCTTTTTGGTGATTAGCTGCAGTCAGGAGTGACTTAATTAACCCTCCGTCACCTGAAGAAAGCCATTGGTGGAGGGGCGCCACATCTGCAAGAAAGAATAGCAAATTTCAGATATATAGCAAAAACTCAACGCTTAATTTGCTTATATGGAGCAGTACAATAACTTTGAGCTGTAACAACACCAAAAGACCTTCATTACAGAGTCAAGACGAGAATAAATTCTTATTTTATTCAATATAGCAGAGGAGAAAACTTCCAAAACACAGTTTCATTACGCAGCAACTCCTTCAGTACCTGGACACTGGAAGTCATTTTCATTTTTTGTTTTGCTTATTTCATTTCACAACAATCTCTCAACAGTATATTATCTCATCTTATAATTCATTAGATTTAATAAATTCTTGTTTAATGTTAATTGAGTAAATTACTTCCCATGGTGGAAGATAAAAACTTCAGAAATACACAAGAGCTCCTCATCATTAAACTGGTTTATGTTTAAGATTGAAATGATATATATATATATATATATAT